ACACACACACACACACACACACACACACTGTGGCACACAGGAAGCAGATGCTAATGTGGCCAGCAGACAGTTTATTTTCTTTCAAATTATTTAAAAAGACAAAAATATACTCTCATCAAGAGGACAAATTATTTAAACAGTGCGAGACAAAGAGAGAAGGAAAAGATTAATAAAGGGAGCTGAAGCATGTGCGTGGATGATCAATTACCATAATCACAATTTTTATCTTGTTCTCCAGTAAAAATATTCGAAGATCTTAAAAATAATAACTTGAGAAGCAAAATTGCATAACATGATAAACTAGCATAAGATGCTAAGATAATCACTGTCTGATAATCGAGAATGTAACCGTTATGTTTATTTTACTTACCCACTGGCAGGCCAAGGAAACTTTTTCTGCATTTCCTTTACTGATTTTTGAGAAAAATCAGCGGAAGTTTGTGCAATGGGTTTAATTTTGGTAATGTGTGTTGAAATGAAGAGTACGAGACATTTACTGCTGAAAGCATAATTAATATGCCAAAATGTTTAATAAACAAACACTGAATGGGTGAGGTGAAATGAATGCTATTTAATATATAATCTCTAAATATGTCTAAATATCTAATGCAATTTAGCTTAAATAAATTTATAGAATAGTTTAGAATGTTTTTTAACTGAAAAACATAAAAATACTGATTTAGTTACTTATTTTGCAGCATCAATTGCACTATTGCACTTTTAAACACACGCACGCGCACGCGCACGCGCACACACATACACACACACACACACACACACACACTCACACACACACACACACACACACACACACACACACACACACACAGTCTCTGACTAAGATCCCACTGAACCCAGACTGTCCCGGGACCCCGTCTGTGGCCTCTGTTTGGCCCTATCTGGACAATCAGTGTTTCGTGGTGCTGTACCGCTTTTAAATTGCTTTTCGGATTTGAACATGAGCCACTGAACCAAAGCCCATAGAAAGTGGAATATTTCACAAAAACCCACAAAAGTATTTTCTTTGGCTCTCCTGGCCTATGAACGCCAACTTTAACAAGGTTAATGATAAAGACATCTGTAACAATAACTGGAAGTAATATTCATACATCATAAAATATGTTTCCCTTTCATGTGTGTTTTTGTGTAGGTTTGGAACGTGCAACTATTTCATAATTAATGAATCAAAACATGCCACGGTGGGTCACCGGGGGCAGGCGGTGCGATCCTTCAGACAGGTGTTTGCACAACTGTTGGGCAAACACGCTGGGAAGAGAAGTCCCGCCACTTCACGAGCCACACAGCTAGTGCTAATGCTACGCTAGGTACGCTACGTTGGCCAGAAGAAAAGTGGAGACATGATGGAGATGAACGAGTGAGGGAAAGATGAGGAGTGTATTGAGTCATGAGAGGAGGGTTAATGAGCCTCATCAGGGGCTGATGTATGGGCCTGCGTGAGGGCGCAGTTTGGCAGAGCGCCGCCGCTGTAAGCCCCATTAAGAGCAGACAGTGGAGAACTGGAGGAGAGGGAAGGACTGGCTAGGGGGTGGCCCGCTAGTAGATGGGCTAGAAGAATTGAGTGGGCATGTGGAAGTTTGTGAAGACGATGCTGCTTTTAGGATGCTGGCAATCAATGTTAACGGTTACATCATTATGTTACTCCTGCAGAAAGCTCAGTGGGAACGCCTGTCATGTACAGCATTTTACACATCACATTCTGGGTCATTTATTATATTTTTGGCTAATTTGTGCTTTCAGCAACCAAAAAGAGTGCGGCACGCTCAGCTCTGATTAAAATCCATTCCACAGAATGGAGTCAGCAAATTCAAGTCAAGTCACCTTTATTTATAAAGCATTTTATACAATACCGATTTTGTCAAAGCATATTTACAGTGTTAAACAGGCAATTATTTTGTCAATAATACAAACAAAATTCAATTCTACTGTAAAGCAGCTCTAAAAAGAGGACAAAAGTAAACAGTCAAATTCTGTCTATTATGGCTGCACAATTAATCGAAATTAAAATTAAATTTGCGAGATGGCTTAGCATGATTATTAATCTCAAATGGTGCGAGTTAATTAAAAAAAATATATGCGCTGCATGTTATAGAGTGAAACAGCAGTTTTATGAATTTGGCATCTACAACAATTTTGGCATCCAAAGTGTGCAGCCCTACTTATAAAATCATGTATTTAATGAAAAATAATATCTGATTTATTTTTTGCTGCTTCTAGAGTAGTTGTATTCTTGGCTTGTGGCTGTTTTTCTGAATGGTATTTTATGCTGTTTACCAGTGTTTATTCCTCATAGTTTGCATGCAACAACTTTACCTATGTATAGTCATTGTGCTGCTTTAAACTGCTTTGTATACAATTAATAATCATAACAGGAGTGATAGAAAGGATTGAATTCTATTGGTCAAAGTTCAGAAATGAAATTAATAGAGAAGCAACGTGTTACTTATATGGTGTACATTTAAGAAGTATCACATATCTTTATTCATAACTTAAAACTACATGATTTAAAAATCTGAACTTATTTTAAAATACTTGATTTCATACACTTGCCAACTATGTAAATGATTACAGAAAAAAACTGAGCATCATACAGTAAACAACTGAGGTTCACACACTACTTGCACATCATCCAGAACACAACAAATGCAGAAACATATGCCTCGTTGCTAGGAGATGCATGAGAAATTAAAACAATATGTGTTCTAAATTCAACTCAAAATATCAAGCATGTTTAAAATCCTCTGACTGGATGGAATCATAGTCTGAAGCTTAAAAATATTTTGCCCATCGTACACTATGTGAATTTCTATGAAATCTGTCAACTACAACAGCTCAAAATCTGCAGACTGGCTTTGACTTTCGTCAACTAGCAAGCAACACATCCAGACTGCAAATCGGGGCAAAAATCTGTAAAAATCAAAAGTTGTGTAGTGTATGCCATTCATAAGAGTGCCAAGCATTATCCCAAAACTGCTGCAAAGAAATCTGAATGTTTAAACAAAATGATTTATAATAATAAGTTTATAATTTCTTTAAAAAAAGTTATATGCAACTAATACCTGAACACACTTTAACAGGTGCAACACAGAGACACACAAAGAAGAAAAGAAGCTCCTCGGTGTGCCAAAAGGACTGTCACTTCCTGTTTTATGACTGTGTACTTAACAGAAATCCTCAAAAAACAGAGCTATAAAGATAACAGATAATACACCATATACAGGGAAAGTATCCGTATCTGTCCCCACACCAGCCTTGACCCAAAAACATGAGGAAAGACGAGAAGATGAGAGACAGAAAAGAGGGAACGGGCGAGAAAGGAGCATATTATAGTGTGTTATCATTGCAGATGATTATCAGGTGTTCTTGTGTGCGTATGGTCAGCCTCCTTCTCCTGTCTTGATAAACAACAGCTACATTAATAAAAGCAGAACAAACACAGCAGCGGACCGTCACAGTCAGTCAATGACAGGAGAGTCTGGACTGTGCTGACAGCACTGACGATGACTCAGAGAGGCTATGTTTCAACAAATGCTGGGCCGCACATTTACGCCTGGAGTGGCACATGGAGATCAAACGGCTGAACTCAAACCCTTCAAGCAAATCCGCTCTCACATCACCCTGGATGACACAGCCTCATCTCTGCAACATATATTCATCCAGATCTTCCAATTTAGTGGGACAATGGGGAATGTTATCTAGTAAGTTCTCAACCCTATAGCTGAGGCAAAGATGGCAATCAG